GTCATTAGCACCTCTAGTAATATATATACTGAGGAAAATGGTGACGTGTTCAATACTTATTTTACCGGCTGTATATAAAATATGATAGTGCAAGTATTTGTCAGTTGTCGTTTGACTAACTTCAAACAACATTTATAAACTCAACCAAAGAAGTATATTATTTTAAAAGGTGTAAACAGGAAGTATCATAAGTTAGAGCTACAGTATAACCCTGGTTTGGATTGGTCGATTTGCCACATGTGATCCCACCATTTTCATAATAAACCAACAGAATTAAACTAAAACTAGTTTTTACTTATTTATTTTTTACTAACAACAGTTTGTGTCAGTCCAAACAGTCTTTAACTAGAAGTCTTAGTGGTTAGTGTAGTTTCCATAAATTTTTTTATCTGTTAATGTTAACAGAGCTAAGATTCCTTTTTAGGTTTTTCTTCCTAGATAATTGAGATACATTTTGCACATACATTTATACAAAGCACCAAGATCAGAGTATAAGAAAATTGTACAAGATGTGATGAGGGTGCTTCAGTATTTATCGACAGCCTTGGGTCAAAATTATTCAAGAGGCCTGATTTCTCGTGGGTCATTTTGACCCGGTTGCAGAATGAAGGTTAGGATTTTGTATATTTCACTTTTAGAAAATTCTGTTTGTGTTTTTTTTTTTTTCAGGTTGTCTGAAGAACATCAAATGGCCATCCAGGAATACTTCAGGACCTCCATCTGTTTAGATGCTGAACAAGTACAGAACGGTAACTCAAACCTCCCTGGCCTAAAGAAGCTAATCATGGCAGTGTGTAAAAATCTAAACAGGTACTTTTTCCATCCATTTGAATATTTGATGCATCCTAATGTACGCAGTGTATATTTAACCACTCTGTCGCTGTTTTAATGGGCCAGYGAAATTACCAGRATCACACCAGTGTTGGAGATCTTTCACAGAACGTTGGATCAGCAGCTCTCCCCAGGGATTGGACCTAAACAAGTTGGTGGCTGCCTTGGTACTCTGCACTATTACCACCACACCCAGAAAATACYTTCCTTATTTTGTATCACCTCCTTAATTTACAGGTTTTTGCCAGTTCAAGTCAGTGTGTGTCCTATAGGCTTGAGCAGCTYACAAAACTTATCTACTCCATAGAGGATAAGGTTTAGTAAAATTCTACATTTTAGACGTACCAACGATGTCAGTTACAAATGGCAAAGCACTTCTCTATTTCTTTTTTCAGGCTAAATGTTCTGTTTTTGAGTCGGTAGGACATGASGGAGGCCACAGGAAATCTCTCATACCACCTGTTGCATTTGAGGTGCTTCCCTGAATTTGCAGTTTTATCACAGAATTGGAAAAAAAATGATAACATGTCTGGATCTTTGGGTTTTGCTTGATTAAATTTCCTTCGTCCCTGGCAGGTTAAACAAGAATTACTAGGTATTTCGACAAAAATGGTCCTGAAGGTGGATATTGAAAGTGGGAAACTGTACATTAAAAAGTCAAAAGATGGACCTGAAGATAAATACTTTGTCCACAATAAGAGTAAGTGACCTTCATAAACAGTGCAGTTCTGGCAAYAATCAACATAATGAACTGATTTTGAAATTTTTTTTACACTTGATCAAATGTCATAGAAAATGGTTGAAAACCCACAGAATGCTACAAGTTTCAGTGGTCTCCCTTATTTTAATAACCTTGATTAAAAAAAACATTTAAGTGATTCTCAGTGGTGGGACCAGCTAACCAAAAAGATAGCTTCACTATCTCATAATCAGCAAACAGAAAATATATCTTCTCTATAGCTAAACTGCTAAACATGTAAAAATTAGCAGAAGCTAACACTAAGCTAACTGCTAACCAGGACGACTGCCACCCAGTCTGTGTCACACATCTTTAGCCCTATTCGCACGGGAGGAGCATTATGAGGACCTCATGTAATAAATAAATTACTCCCCAACGTCTGTTTTTTTATGTGGCGCATTCACACGTGATAACCGGCCCTGAAATTTTCCTGAAACTTACAGACATSTCCTGAATGGGATGTTGAAGTCTGGTTAGCTGACACTTTGACCACGGCGAGCGTGCGCGTGCATCATTTAAACAGTTTGTTTGTCAAGCTTTTGCTCTCCTATTTACAACACTTCATAAGTTGTAAAGTGTTTTGCTGCATGTCATTTTGGAGAATACTACAACAATGTAAGCGCCAAGTATAAATGCCTACACCGCTGGTGAGGGTGAACGCGCCCGGTGCGAGTACCCAAAGCGCGAGCCTGCTCTGCACTACGGCMATAGCTTAACAGTCAGCATCAGCCAAAAGGCTACAAACAGAAAAAATATATATYCTTACCACACAGTGAGCCACCATTTAAATTTGATTTTGCTCCTTCACTTCAGCCCTTTTTCTTATTTTATTTTATTTTATTTTTGTACGCCGCACGTTACAAGTTGGGTTTCGCCGGCCCGGGACCCAAACATTTTTCAGTGCACTCCAATCCAGCCTCCACTCTTCACCAAAAGTAAATAAAACTGCACCCAAGAAACAAAAACTGCGTAATTACATATTGGCAGTGGTAGCACTAATCTAAAAATTAATTCCACTAGCCCTAAAGCACTAACTCAAATATTTAGGTCCCCTAATTCTAAAGCACTAACTCAAAWATYTAGKTCCCCTWRTTCTAAAGCACTAACTCAAATATTTAGGTCCCCTAATTCTAAAGCACTAACACAGTGAAAATTAAAAATTAAAATTAGCAAAAGCCCTAAAGCACTAATCAGGAAATTAGTTCACCTATTAGTGCTTTAGTTAGTGTTTCCCAAAGTTGGGGTCGGGACCCAAAGTGGGGTCCCGAAACATCTAGGTGGGGTCCTGAAAAGATTTTCTGAATTAATTACATTTTTGTCTTAGTTGTTACAAATGAGTGAGGTTAGTATATTTAAAATGGATAAATGTAGTATAAAAATATTGTTGCTATGCCCATGTTTAGTTGACTTGATGCAAATGTTTATCATCCAAAAACAGTTGGGGGCACAGGTCTCTGCTACTGTTATTTTGTGGGTCAAAAGCTGAAAAGTTTGGGAACCACTGCACTTTGGTTCCCAAAGTTGGGCTTGGGACCCAATTATGGGTCGTGAAGCACCTTGGATAATCTCCAGAAATCAATTTAAAGGGTAATAAAATAATTGCTGATGTAATATTTCCCTATAATTATTACAAAAACACAAAATAAGTAAAAATAAGTAATTATATTTGTGTATAAGCTGTTTAGATTGTCAAAAAGCCTGTGTTTTTAGGGTTATTAACGAAGTTCGTGTACTCAGACCAGTAATATTTGGGGTCACAAGTTTTTGTTATGGATATTTTGTGGGTCAGAAGATAAAACGTTTGGGAACCACTGCTTTAGGGGAACTGTGCCCACCACTGCATATTGGATTCAGCCCATTCCTGTCCAAACACAGAGATGCCTATTCACTTTAGAATAGTATTATCACAGGACCTCGGRGTTCAACAAAATATAGTAGGTAATTTGCGGGAGAATTTTTACTTTACAATCCACTAAACGAAAAATTAGTTCGCTATTAGCTGTTAGCTGATTAGTCAAACCATGCTCACCAAAGCTGGGAACATGTGTGGTAATTTGTACACATGAAGCTTTGACCTGAAGTCTATAAACGTCCTCAGAGTTTAATCTGATTTACCATTAATGGCTCGCACAAGCCAGATCAGTTGTGGGATGACTTCCTAATCCACAAAACCCTCAGATTTTCTCCTGTTAGTTGTTTTACTTGTTGTGACTGATAGCTGCACAATAGTCATGAGATGAGTTGCATTGATTCAAGGACATTTTTAGTAATCATTGTCTGATACAATTTTAAGTCTAATTCCTACATTTTGACCAATTGCCTAAAACACTTGATAATGTGTTAAATCATTGCTGAACCCAGGCATGTTAACGCTGTTAGATTTACGTTTCTCTCAAAGTAGATTCGGTTTATGTAGCTGTTATTGCTGCTGACTGTTTTGCGGTTGTTTGTCAGTCCTGCAGTTGGTGAAATCCCAGAAAATGCACACCAAACTTATAATTGTGGTGGAGACTGAGAAGGAGAAGGTTTTACGGAAGGAGTTTGGGTTTGAAGACACAAAGGTAATCCTTTGGATCGCTGTCCTACACAACAGTTTTCTGCAAAAAGACATCTGTCCTCTTATATAATTCTCAGTTTTGTTTTCTTTGACACGAATGGCTTTGTCACTCCAGAAAAGAGAAGGCTTCTGTCAGCTGCTTCAACAAATGAAGAACAAACACTCAGAAAAGCCCGAACCCGACATGATCCGGGTGTTTATTGGCACCTGGAATATGGGTAATGATAATTTCCCATTTGGTAATTGAACCCGTTTGGAYGATGCAGAACTGACCATCTAAAAACAACCCACAGGAAATGCTGGTCCTCCCCACAACATTGACTCCTGGTTTCAGTGTAAGGGTCAGGGGAAGACACAGGACGACACAGCAGATCATATCCCACATGATGTTTACGTCATTGGGACCCAGGAAGATCCACTGGGAGAGAGAGAGTGGTTTGAAACATTAAAGAGCGTCCTGAGGAACATCACCAACATTAGCTTCAAGCAGGTGAGTCGCTGTAACAAAGAGCTAAAGGTCTGGTGCAGAGCAGCAGTAGATTAAACCTCCAAACAACTAGGTGGCCATTCACACGCTGTGGAACATTCGGATTGTGGTGCTGGCCAAACCGGAGCACGAAAACAGGATCTCCCATGTGTTTTCYGACAGCGTGAAGACGGGGATTGCCAACACTTTGGGTAAGCAGTTCCACTTCTCCATGAGGTTCTGAATAACCCGTCACAAAGATTCTCACAAACAAAAACTGAGACTTCTCATTGGTTCGCAGGAAACAAGGGCGCAGTGGGAGTGTCTTTCATGTTCAACGGAACGTCTTTTGGCTTTGTCAACAGTCACCTAACATCTGGAAGTGAGAAGAAGCTCAGGTAAACTTTATAAAGGATCCTGGGACATTCTGCAAAAACCAGGTTTTAGCCCTTAAATAGATTTGTTGTCTTGATACAACTTGGTTTAACTTTGAGTCTCTATAAGTGCAGAAAAGTTGACTTTAGTCTCTCCTGGTGTTGTGTAGATATTTTTATATTTGGGTCATATTTTACAGTCCATAGTTTTTCTATTTTGTGACATAGTTTGTGAAAAATCAAACTAGAATCTGATCTAAAATAGACTGAGTATAAAAAATATTTAAAAAAATTAAAAACAGTAAAATAAAATTTTCTGATTTAACACTTTTTGCTGTTTTTGCAGACGGAATCAAAACTACATCAACATCCTCCGTCTGCTGAATCTAGGAGATAAAAAGCTCAATCCTTTTGACATCACTCATATGTTCACGCACTTCTTCTGGCTCGGAGACTTGAACTACCGTGTTGAATTTCCATCGTCAGTAAGTTCCTGAGAATGTGTCTTCAATAACGTTAAAAGTTTTTTCATTCAACAGTTCTGTGAAATGGCTGCAGAAGTCATCTTTTTGCTCCTTCTGGTCGTTTATAAATCACAGACGGGGTAATGTCTAATGAAGATGTGAGGTTCTGGAAATAAAAAAACAAAAGAGGAAAGGAGCAGAACTCTCCTGGCCTAAAGACTAAATACTGACTTGATGTTTGTCATCATTGATCTTTTCTTCGTAATAAATCTGTCATTTATTCACACGGCCAAACGGTCACATAAACTGTTTATTATAACTTCAGCATATCATTGAGCCACAAAGCTGGCTTACTTTTTTAACACGTCTATTGTTTTTACTATTTACATGAATGCAATAATAATAATAATAATAATAATAATAA